AAAAGAGGTCTGTATTAATAACAGAGAAAACTTCAACCAGTTATCCTTTCTTTTTTCAAGTATAAACAGAAAACCAAGGATCTGTAGCATGTGAAGAGAACCCGCAGCATTAAATAGAATGACTGGCCAAAGTAAGCTGGAAAACTGTCCACGAAGGAATGAAATAAAACAGAAAACAGAGAAAACCTAACAAACAAACAAAAATTGAGCTAAACCACACAACAAAAACTCTAGTTAATGTAATACGAGAGATCTAAATGTATTGTAACCATAAAACCAGAAATGGGTGCAATGAAACAGGAACAACCTGAGAACAAGAGCATAAAAACGTTTAGAGATTAGCATATAATTGTTAAAACACAAAGTTTAACAGAAACACTAAAAATTAAATCTAAAAAATTCTCATTATTTTTAATGAGAAATTAAAAAGGGGAAAAAGAGTCTAAAACTAGGAGAGCAAAGATGAGACACTTAAAGCCAAAACATGAGGTCCAACATCAGAGTAAAAAGAGCCCAAGAAAGAGAAAACAGAAAAATAAAGGAAAGATTTTATCAAGAAATATATGTTAAAGAAAATGTTCTAAAACCGAAGAAAATCTTCAGATTGAAAGACCCATTGACTAGCAAGAAGAATCTATCAGATATGTGCTTGTGACATTTCAAAACATCAATAATAAAGAGAAAATCCTAAAAGGTTTCAGAGACAAACATGCCACCTAAAAGGAATGAGGATTAGACTGGCACCAGAATTCTCATCAACCACAAGGGATGCTGGATGAAAATGAATAGTCCAACCTAGAATTCTATACCTATCCAAACTATCAGTTTCTGTGAAGGCAGAATAAATACATATTCATATATGCAAGATCTCAGAGAATTTACCTATTATGCACTTTTTTCCTCAAAAAGTTAAGAATGTATTTAAGCAAAATAAGGGAGTAAATCAAGAAAAAGGAAGTCCTAGGATCCAAAAGATAGTGGGTCTCAGGAAAGAAATACATGGAAATCCTAGGATAATTGCACCAAGGTATGCCTAAATGATAATCATTCCAGACTGTAGGAAA